TGTATGTTTCTGTAGATGTTTGTCGATATTGTTGCGTTTTTTCACGATGGCTAAAAGCAGAAAGAAAGACAAATATACAAATAGATATATATATATATATATCTATTTATATATATCTATATATATATATATATTACTCTGTTCTTTAAACTAATAAGGAAACAAAGCGAAGAAAACGCAGCAAAATGTCGCAAAAAAAATTTTCAGATTTTTTGGAGGCAAACCGCCAGACTATTTTAGAGTTAAATAAAATAAAAGAAAATAAATAATAATAATATTTAAATATTCAAAGTTATGCATGCAAAATAAAACAAATATCTTCCTTAAGAAGCAACGCCGGGCGGAGGTATAAGTTGCATGCTCCCTGCAGCAGCAGCAGCGAAAACAAAATAAAATAAATAAAATAAATAAAATAAAACGTAATATAATTAAACAATAAAATATCTTTATTATTATATCTTTTGAACAAATCAATAAACCCCTCATGTCTGATTGCTTTCATTTCTTATGTCTGCTGTATTTACACTGATTCGTATTCTGCATTTGCTGTTGCTGCTGCTGTTGCTGCATCTGCTCCTGCTGCTGCTGCTGCTGCTGCTGCTTGTTGTCTACTGCATGTTTGCTCTATCTTTTCCTACTTCTAAACACAAACTAGAGCGCATCATCAACAAAAAGATACGAATATATATATATATATATACATTTATGTATATATATATGTATACACTTATATATATATATACATCTATATATATAAATATATATTTATATATTTATATTTAATATCTATATAATCCCTCCCGGCTACCTCTCTATTTAAACTCAGCAATGAATCTACAGCAATAAAAGTATAGATGTGCAGCAGCAAAAAGCAGCAAACAAACAAACCGTCGGGAAAGGTAAGTTTTTCTTCTTTGTTACACCGCACAACTTTGCGAACTCCGCTCGCAAAAATTATTTTCGCTGAACCGTCAGGAAAGAGACACTCTAACTGCCCATCAGAAAACCTGCAGCAGCAGCAGCAGCAGCAGCAGCAGCAGCAGCAGCAGCAGCAGGAGCAGGAGCAGGAGCAGCAGCAGGAGCAGCAGCAGCAATTGCAAACGCAGAAAGCGAATAAGTTTAAGTACAAAACAGAAAGAAGAAATATAAAGGGGGTGTAGAACGAAGAGGAATACAGCAGCAGCAGCAGCCACAGCAGCCGCAGCAGCAGCAGCAGCAGCTGAGGTGTACAGAGACCTCAGCTGTCTGTACACCTCAAAGAAGAAAAACAAATAAAAACAAAAACCTACCGATTGAACTGCCGACCGTCAGGCATATTATACTGCAGCGTATTACTCTCTCTATATTGATATATCTGAAGGAGGAGGAGCAGCAGAAGACAGCAATAAATAAAAAGAAATAAAAACTAAGCAGCTGCGGCTGCAGCTACAGCTGCAGCTACGGCAGCAGCTACAGCTACAGCAGCAGCTACAGCTACGGCAGCAGCTACAGCTACAGCAGCAGCTACAGCTACAGCTACAGCAGCTACAGCAGCAGCTACAGCAGCTACAGCAGCAGCTGCAGCTACAACAGCAGCAACACCCCTAAAGTGCGTATATAAGGAAGTAAAATTAAGTTTTGTTGTTAGAGCGGAGGAGAGACAGGCGGGTGTACAGAGTAGTTGCTGCTATTGTATCAAATATAAAGACAGAGTTTAATAAAATAAATAAGAAAATAAATAAACACTTTATTGTTTTGCTCTACCTGCACTCCTGAAGGCTGAGTAATGCGAATGTCTCCGTTTAAAAACAAAACAAAAGAAATATCATCTGCTGTCTTCACCCGCTCCAAGCCATTGCTATATATTGTCCTTCTATGTCCTGCAGCAGCAGATAAAGACAAAAGAAAATATAAATAAATAAATAAATAAATTAATTAATTAATTAATTAATCAATAAAGAGAGAGCACAGCATATGCGGAAGCTATTGAAAGCGGCGGTGTGCTGCTGCTCCTGCTGCTGTTGCTGCTGTTGCTGCAGCAATTGCTGTTGTTGCTGTTGTTGCTGCAGCAATTGCTGCTGCTGCTGCAGCACTGCTGTAGCTATTGCGGCTGCAGGTAGTTTTGTTTGTTTGTGCAGTTTGCTTCGCAGTGGGGTGTGTGCGTGTTTTGCTGCTGCTGGTTACATTTTGCTGCTGCTGCTGCTGCTTTTGCTGCTGTTGCTGCTGCTGTTGCGTGGGGTGTCTATACAGCTGGTTTGTTGTTATGTTGGGGCTTGCCTGCATGCAGCGTTATCTCTGTTCTTCCTTTTAACTCTCTCTTTGCGATGAAAGGCTTTGAGTCTGTTAATACTTCTTTCAGAATTTGTACTGCCTCCAGAAAAGGCCGAGAAAAATCAAAAGTCAGTAAACAGCTAAAATCGTCTTCTGCACGCATGCACATAACACACTGCTGCTGCTGCTGCTGCTGCTGCAGTGGCTGCTGATGCTGCAGTAGCTGCGGCGGGTACTGCGATGTCGCCGC